CCTACCAAATGTTCCATGCCTTAATGAAATTTCTACTTTACAATTTCATACTTACGATCTATTGCGGAAACCAGCTCAAGAGCCAATCGTAACTAAAGCTCGAGCAATTAACCTCGTACTCGGGGACTGTCGTCCGAAAATCAACATGCTCGAGTTACTAAACTAAGGAAATCATAAGACCTTAAAAGGCAACCCTCGATTTTATAGGCCACGACCACCCCATTTCGGGCCTAACACTTTGAACAAGTTCGAAGTATAAGCGAGAAACGAGCCCGAAGGGAAAATCTCAAGTTAAAGGCTACGGACAACTAAGACAGTTCGGAGACATCCTAATTCCGTAATCAAATAGGCCTCAAATATTTTCATAAAACCGATTGAAAAAGGGTTACCCTTGGCAAATTTACATAGGGTTTCAATAACATCAACCCTCAAAAACCTTATGAGGAATCAAATTGTTCGAACTCTCGAACAAACTTATGCTAAGGAATAACAAATTTTTATATGATTAAACTTTTTAAGCCAAAAAAGGGGAAAAAGCCACTCTTTTAAAGCCATATCGGCCCAATTCAAGAGCCCAAGGGCCATTGTACTTTTGAGTTCGAGAATCCACCCTCACTCAATTAAAACCTACGGGTTTTTTTCTTCGAGTTCAAGCAAATACTCACTCGATTATAGAGACTACACTAGTCCGACTTTGATCAAGTCGCTTATGTTTCGGGTTCACAAAAAAAATTTTCGCAAGACAACGAAGTGAGTCAAAACCCTCACAGGATATAAAGTATATCAAAATTATTATAAGGCAAAAAGCAAAATAGAGTTTTCACAATTCACAAAACAGAAATCAAAGACAAATCGGAAAGGAAAGGGATCTTTCATATATGCAAAATATTTACAAAGACCACTTAGGGTCTTACACAAAAAATCCAAAAAAGAAGAAAAAAATTCTAAGTGCATAATCTTCCCCGGGAGCCTCATCTTCATCCCCTCCACTCTCGGATCCACTCGAGCTCCCGAAACCATCATCATCAAAGAGCAAAGCTTTGGCTTCGGCCTCTAGCACTTTCGTGTTCTCGATATCGGCAGTAAGGTCAAAACCACAAGCATGAATCTCTTCGCGAGTCTCTCTCCGAGATTGGGATTTGGCATGATCGCCAACACAGAATGATCGAACCTGAGCAGCATCAGAAATTTCCTTTGCTCGGGCGTGAGCGGCTTTAGCATCAGCTCGGTAAACGGCCACGACCGCCTCTGCGTCGGCCTTTACTCTTTCTACCTCAGATGTGGCCTTTGCAAGCTCAGCAGCTAATCGAACCTCGAGCTCCTCAATTTTCTTGGCTCGGGCCAAGATTTCCTCCTTCATGCTTTGGAGTGTTCGGCCGAAGATAGCTAGGCCCGAGCAGTGTCTTTCTCCGAGGCAAGCCGGTCCATGTTTTACTTCCACCCCAAGTTATCTGCCTCCTTCATCTTGGCTTCCTCGCAAAGTTGCTCGATCTTTTCGGCCTTTTACTAAACCTTCAAGATTGAAGTGTTAGTCTACGTCTCAGGATTAATAAAACGAGCCTCCAAAAAATTACATTACCTGCTCAATCAGGTCGGTTTGCCCTTTGTGAGCTGTTGCCAATTCAGCTTGGAGGTCCTTGGTCTCCTCATCTTTTGTGATGACCCAAAAGGTCATCTCTTGCTTTAGAATTCAAATCTGTGTTTCGAGGCCTTGAAAATCTCCTTTTATCTCTCCTCGATTTGCGTGCGTAGTTCGGGCATATATCCGGAAAGCCCTTATGTGAAAATTTGAGAAAATGCTAAATTTTGCCTTTAAAATGGAATTAAGTTGACTTTGGTCAACATTTTGAAAAAATGGACCCGGACCCGTGTTCCGACGGTCCCGTAGGGTCCGTAGTAAAATATGGGACTTGGGCGTATTCCCGGTACGAATTTCGAGGTCCCTAGCCCGAGAAAAGAATTTTTAAAGAAAATTGTTTGCTGAAAAATATAAGCATTTTTAGAAATGAACTAGCGTGTAATCTTGATAGTATCAAGCTCATATTTTGGTTCCCGAGCTCGGTACAGGTTTAATATAATAACTAACTCGAATCTGTGAAATTTGGTAAGAATCGGAGTTAATTTGGTATAAATCGGACCCTTAGTTGAGAAAATGGAAATTTGAATGTTCTTAAGAATTTCATGAATTTGAGGTTAAATTCACAGTTGTTGATGTTATTTTGATGATTTGATCGCACGAGCAAGTCCGTATGATGTTTTTAGGCTTGCGTGCATGTTTGGTTTGGAGCCCCGAGGGCTCGAGTGAGTTTTGGATAGGCCACAAAGTGGTTAGAACTTAGGAAACTCAGCTGATGCATCTGGTATTTTTGCACAGGCCTCTTATCTCGCAATTGCGAGATCAGGCTTCGCAATTGCGATGTGAGCAGGCCTGGAAATGCGACAATAATATCACAAATGCGAACCAGGCCTAGGCAGGCCACCCTCGCAAATGCGAACTTTTGGCCGGAATTGTGAAGGCCCTTCTGTCGCAAATGCGAAGGCTGCAGTAATTCAAAGGGGTCGCAATTGCGAACCCCTGATCGCAATTGCGGTAACTACGGCCTGTTAAGTGAGATTTCAGACGGGATTTTCATCATTTTGCAATTTTCTCAAACCCTAAACATCCCTAGGCGTATTTTCAAAGACCCAAACTTCTCCAAATCATAAGTAAGTGATTTCTGACTCATCTTCTTCAATCTAACTCATCTTTATACATGATTTCACTTCAAAATCTAGGGTTTTTCATGGGAAATTGGGTGTTCTTGGGTAGAATTTAGGATTTTCGTATTTTGGGGATTTGTACCTCAAATTGAGGTCTGATTTCAAAACCAATTGCATATTTGAGTTCGTGGGTGAATGGGTAATAGAGTTTCTGTTCGAATTCGAGTTTTGACCAAGCTGGCCCGGGGTTGGTTTTTTTACTTTTTGGGGAAAACAACAGGGAGTCTATATTCATGCATTAGAATTGGTTTATTTAGCATTTATTGATGTTATTAAGTAAATTATGACTAGATATAAGCAGATTGGAAGTGGAACCGAGAGGTAAAGCGGTAGTTGAGGCTTCATTTTGTCCGTGGAATTGAGGTAAGTGTTTGGTCTAACCTTAGCTTGAGGGAATAGGAGTTGTGATCTTATTTGCTACGTGTTAGTGTCGAGTACGACGTATAGGTGTGGTGACGAGTATCTATACATTGGTGTCAAGCATGTCGTGAGTCTCATACCATGATTGTTGTGACTTTATTATGTACTGTCTATGCCTAAATTGAGGAATATCAATGTTGAACAAGACCTATGATAATTTCTTGGTGATTGATCATTGTTGAGTATTGGCTCAAGTTAAGGATTTATTTTGTGGAGTAACTATTGAAACGATATTGGTTATAGTTGATTCCCTTGACGGGATGTTATTGTTTCTATTGTTGATTCCCTTGCCGGGATGTTATTGTTCTATTGTTGATTCCCTTGCCGGGATTTTATTGTTTCTATTGTTGATTCCCTTGCAGGGACGTATACTTTCTATTGTTTGGATGAAGAAGAGTGTAAAGCACGAAGGCTGTTGCCGTGCCTGATATTGTGAGTGAGAGTTAATGCACGAAGGGTAATGCCGTGACGATATTGTGTGAGATAATGCACAAAGGGTGATGTCGTGCCATGATTATGAGAGTTAATGCACGAAGGGTGATACCATGCCGATATTGTGAGTGATAATGCAGCGAAGGGTGATGTCGTGCCATGATTTTGAGAGTTAATGCACGAAGGGTGATGTCGTGCCTTTTTTGTTGATTCATATGGTGAGAACGAGAGTAAAAGCACGAAGGGTGATGCCGTGCACGTGTTACTGTTTCATTATCCTTGTTGATACAATATGACGTTCAATATGCTTCTCTATTGAATTATTGTTAGAATCGAATATATTCCCGCAGCATGTTTCCCCTTCTCATCTTTATTTGTCATTTCCTGTAATTATTGTTCTGTTCGTTTATGATTTAACTGCACAGGTTTATATGGTGGTCGTTTCCTAGCCCCGTCACTTCTCCGAGGTTAGGCTCGACACTTACCAGTACATGGGGTCGGTTGTACTGATATTGCACTCTATACTTCCTGTGCAGATTTCGATGCTGGACCTCATGAGTAGATCGTGGGTTGCTACCTTCAGTCCATAGGAGACCCGAGGTAGATCTGCCGGCGTTCGCAGACTCCGTAGTCCCCTTTCCTTATGTTTTAGATATACTGTCTCTTTTCATTTCGAGAACAGTTGTACTTTTCTTTCTAAACCAGTGTTTGTAGAAATTCATGGATATTTGTGAACTTGTGACACCAGATCAATGGGGTAGACATGTATTGGAGTACTTGAATTGCTATAACATTTTCGCACTTTATATCTCTGTTGGGGTTAATTGCTAGTGTTTTAAAATCATAGTAGTTGGCTTGCCTAGCTTTCACGGGTAGGCGCCATCACGATCCCGACGGTGGGAAATTTGGGTCGTGACAAGTTGTTATCAGAGCTCTAGGTCGCCTAGGTCTCACAATTCATGAACAAGCTAGGTAGAGTCTGAGGGATCGGTACGGAGACGTCTGTGCTTATCCCCCAGAGGCTACAGAGTTTAGGAAAAACTTCACATCTTTTCTTTCCTGTCGTGCGACTTGATTTCTCAATTCTGATTGAACTTCACTTTGTTCATTCGCAGATGGTGAGGACACGTACCGCTTCATCAGCCGACCAACAGCCCGAGCCCCCAGTGGAAACTCCTATGAGAGGCAAAGGTCGAGGTCGTGCTAGGGGCCGAGGTAGAGGCAGGTCTCAACCTAGAGCTCGAGCAGCAGCACCAGCGGCGGAGCCTCAAGTAGAGTTTGAGGAGGAGGTTCCAGCCCAGACAGATCCAACAGGGCCAACTCAGGTCCCAGAGGGGTTCATCGCCACCCCGGTACTCCAGGATGCTCTGGTCCGTCTAGTGGGCCTTATGCAGAGTGTCACTCAGGCAGGCATATTCCCTGTAGCACCAGTTGTTGCTCAGGATGGAGGAGGAGCCCAAGCTCTTGCTACTCGTACTCCAGAGCAGATGGCTCCCCAATTTCAGACTCTTGCAGCTCAGCCACTTGGCGTAGTCCAGTCGGGTGTTGTAGCTCAGACCGGTGATGGAGCAGCTATGTCTATTGATGCCTTGTGGAGATTGGACAGGTTCACCAAGCTTTTTACTACCACATATGGCGGTACTTCTTCAGAGGATCCCTAGGATTATTTGGATAGCTGTCACGAGGTTCTACGGAACATGGGGATAGTGGAGGCCAATAGGGTAGACTTTGCTGCTTTTTCGTCTGTTAGGTTCCGCCAAGACTTGGTGGAGAGATTATTGTTTAGCTAGACCAGCTAGGTCACCGGCTTTGACCTGGGATCGGTTCTCTCAGCTATTTCTGGAGAAGTTTCTTCCTATTACTCAGAGGGAGGACTATCGGAGGTAGTTTGAGCGTCTCCAGCAGGGTTCTATGACCGTCACTCAGTACGAGACCAAATTTATTGCCTTGGTCCGTCATGCTCTTCTTATACTTCCCACTGAGAGAGAGAGAGAGAGGAGGTTCATTGAGGGACTCGCTCGGCCTATTCGATTGCAGATGGCTAAGTAGACAGGGAGCAGATTTCTTTTCAGGATGCGACCAATGTGGCCAGGCGACTTGAGATGGTTCTATCACATTGGAGTGGTCAGGGTCTGACAAGAGGCCTCATCGTTCGGGTAGGTTCAGTGGTGCCTCGTCTGGAGGCAGGGATTCTTTTGGTAGGGGCCATCCTCCCAGGCCGTTTCATTCAGCACTCCAGGCTTCTCATGGTGCTCCAGGTGCTGTGGTTCTCATATGCAGTATTCTGATCAACTACCCTACAGTGCACCACCGGCTAGGGGTGTGCATTCGAATCGATTTATCGATAAATCGAATCGATTATTTGTTATCGGTTTATCAATATCGTTTTATCGATTTCGATTTTGATTTCAAAATTTTTCTTATCAAGTTATCGATTTCGATTTCGATTTTGTCCTATTTGGTTATTGGTTTATCGATAAACCGATAAGATATACTAAAAGGACAAATATACCCTCATCTACTCCAATTGGTACAATTTAAAATCTTTTCACCTCTATATAAAAGCATCAAAACCCACTGGATTTGCATAGTTTTTGAAGTCAACTTTTCTTATAGAGTTCAAATCTCAAAGCAAAATTTTACTATTTTACAGTAAAGAATAATGGTTGGTAGAGGAAAAACCCTAGGTTCAAGAGCTGCAAAGAAGGTTACATCCCATAGTAGTAAAGCCGGTCCTCAATTTCCGGTCGGTCGTATCGCCCGTTTTCTTAAAGCCGACAAGTATGCCGAGCATGTAGGCGCCGGAGCTCCGGTTTACCTTGCTGCTGTCCTGGAATACCTTGCTGCTGAGGTTAATTTCGTCTTTGGACTTTTTAGTTCTGTAATTTTTGCATAAATTCAATTTCTTTTGACTCCCGCAAATTTTCTTATTGGTGTAATCGATAACCGAATCGATAAGCCCCAAAAATCGATAAATCAAAATTGAAAAACTGAAACCTTATTGAAATGATAACGATAAGCATATGTACAAATCAATAATCGATAAGTAATTATCGATAAGGGTCAAAATCGAATCGATAAATCGAATGCACACCCCTACCACCAGCTCCTATCAGTGCACCTCTGCTCCAGAGTTTTCAGAGTGGTCACTCAGGCCGTCAGGCTCAGTTTTAGGGTCAGCAGTCCCAGCAGTCGAGGACTTGTTATACTTGTGACGATCCGAGGCACATTGCTAGATTTTGCCCTCGAGCCTCGTGCAGTTCTCAGCATCAGAGTTCTCGTGCTATGGTTCAGGCACCGGGTGTTCCACCGCCTGCTCGGCCAGCTAGAGGTAGGGGTCAGGCAGCTAGAGGTAGAGGTAGAGGTGTTAGGGAGTGAAGGTCAGGCCGCTAGAGGTGGACGCCAACCAGTAGGAGAACGTCCCAGGGATATAGTTCAGAGTGGTGGGGTCCAGCCCCGATGTTATGCTTTCCCAGCCAGGCCTGAGGCTGAGGCATCCGATGCCGTTATCACAGGTATGGTTTTAGTTTGCAGTAGAGATGCATCAGTTCTGTTTGATACAGGGTCTACATACTCATATGTGTCATCTTATTTTGCTACGTATTTGGTTGTGCCTCGTGATTCTTTAAGTACTCCTGTATATGTGTCCACACCGGTGGGTGATTCTATTGTCGTAGATCGTGTCTATCGCTCGTGTGTGGTTATTATTGGGGGTCTTGAGACCCGTGTAGATCTCTTACTTCTGGATATGGTTGATTTTGATGTCATATTGGGGATGGATTGGCTGTCACCTTATCATGCCATATTGGACTGTCACGCCAAGACCGTGACCTTGGCCTTGCCAGGGTTGCCTCGATTGGAGTGGATAGGGACTCCTGGTCATTCTACAAGTAGTGTTATTTCTTATATGAAGGCTCGGCGTATGGTCGAGAAGGGTTGTTTGGCTTACTTGGCATATGTTCGTGATTCTAGTGCTAAGGTTCCTTCTATGGATTCCGTGCCAGTTGTTCATGAGTTTCCGAGGTATTTCCTGCAGACCTGCCGGGGATGCCCCCCGATAGAGATATCGACTTTTGCATTGATTTGGCTCCGGGCACTCAGCCCATTTCTATTCTGCCATATCGTATGGCTCCACCATAGTTGAAAGAATTGAAGGAGCAGCTGCAAGACTTACTTGATAAGGGCTTTATCAGACCTAGTGTCTCGCCCTAGGGTGCACCGGTGTTGTTTGTTAAAAAGAAGGATGGGTCAATGAGGATGTGTATTGATTATCGGCAGTTGAACAAGGTCACAATCAAGAATAACTATCCATTGCTGAGGATTGATGATTTGTTTGATCAACTTCAGGGTGCCAAAGTGTTTTCGGAGATTGATTTAACATCGGGCTACCATCAGTTGAGGATTAAGGCATCCGATGTCCCTAAGATAGCTTTTCGCACTCGGTACGGGCATTACGAGTTTCTAGTGATGTCATTTGGGTTGACAAATACCCCAGCAACATTCATGGATTTGATGAACCGAGTGTTCGGGCTGTATCAGGATTCCTTTGTGATTGTCTTCATTGATGATATTTTTATCTACTCCCGCAGCCGAGAGGAGCATGAGCAGCATCTTCGAGTTGTTCTTCAGACTCTGAGAGACAGTCAGTTGTATGCTAAGTTTTCAAAATGTGAGTTTTGGTTGAGTTCAGTTGCATTCTTGGTCCACGTTGTTTCAGCAGAGGGTATTGTGGTAGATCCGAAGAAGATAGAGGCAGTCAAGGACTAGCCTAGACCCACATCAGCTACAGAGATATGGAGTTTCTTGGGTTTGGTGGGTTACTATCATTGGTTTATGGAGGGGTTTTCATCTATAGCAGCCCCGATGACCAGGTTGACCCAAAAAGGTGCTCAGTTCAGGTGGTCGGACGAGTGTGAGGCGAGCTTTCAGAAGCTCAAGATAGCTTTGACTACGACACCGAATTTAGTTTTGCCCACAGGTTCAGGGCCATATACAGTGTATTGTGACGCATCTTGTATTGGACATGGTGCGGTGTTGATGCAGGATGGCAAGGTTATTGCTTATGCTTCGCGACAGTTGAAGATTCATGAGAAGAACTATCTAGTTCATGATTTGGAGCTAGCAGCCATTATTCATGCACTGAAGATTTGGAGGCATTATTTATATGGCGTGTCATGTGAGGTGTTCACGGATCACAAGAGTCTACAGTATTTGTTCAAGCAGAGGGAGCTAAATTTAAGGCAGGGGAGGTGGTTGGAGCTGTTGAAAGACTATGATATCACCATCTTGTATCATCTGGGGAAGGCCAATGTGGTGGCCGATGCTTTGAGTCGGAATATGGGTAGTCTTGCTATATTCTAGTCGGTGAGAGGCCGCTTGCTTTAGATGTTCAGGCCTTAGCCAATCAGTTCGTGAGGTTGGATGTTTCTGAGCCCAGTCGTGTTTTAGCTTGTACAGTCGCTCGGTCTTCATTATTTGAGCGTATCACAGATTAGTAGTATGATGATCCTTATTTTCTAGTCCTTAGGGACACAGTGCGGATGGAGGTGCCAAGAAGATTACGGTTGGAGATGACGGAGTTTTGAGGATGTAGGGTCGAGTTTGTGTGCCTAATGTGGATGGACTTCGAGAGTTTATTCTAGAGGAGGCCCATAGTTCTCGGTATTCTATTCATCTGGGCACCGCTAAGATGTAGCAGGACTTACGTCAGCATTATTGGTGGAGGAGGATGAAAAAGGATATTGTTGCATATGTAGCTCGGTGTTTGAATTGTCAGCAGGTAAAGTATGAGCATCAGAGACCTGGTGGTTTGCTTTAGAAGATGGAGATACCTGAGTGGAAGTTGGAGTGCATCACTATGGACTTCGTTGTTGGACTTTCACGGACTCAGAGGAAGTTCGATGCGGTATGGGTTATTGTTGATAGGCTGACCAAGTCAGCGCATTTCATTCTTGTGGCAGTCTCTTATTCTTCAGAGAGGTTAGCTGAGATCTATATCCGGGAGATTGTTCGTCTTCATGGTGTGCCCGTGTCTATCATTTCTGACTGAGGTACGCAGTTTACCTAGCATTTCTGGAGGGCTGTTCAGCGTGAGTTGGGTACACGGGTCGAGTTGAGCATAGCATTTCATCCTCAAACGGACGGACAGTCCGAGCGAAATATTCAGATTTTGGAGGATATGCTCCGAGCATGTGTTATTGACTTTGGAGGTTCGTGGGATCGGTTCTTGCCATTAGCAGAGTTTGTATACAACAACAGCTATCAGCCGAGCATCCAGATGGCTCCCTATGAGGCATTATATGGTAGACGGTGTTGATTGCCAGTCGGGTGGTTTGAGCCGGGGGAGGCTCGGTTGTTGAGTACAGATCTAGTACAGGATGCCTTGGACAACGTCAAGATCATTCAGGATAGGCTTCGTACAGCTCAGTCCAGGCAAAAGAGTTATGCTGACTGTAAGGTTCCGGATGTGGCATTCATGGTCGGAGAGCGAGTGTTGCTTCGGGTGTCGCCCATGAAGGGTGTGATGAGATTTGGAAAGAAGGGTAAGCTAAGACCTAGGTTCATCGGGCCTTTTGAGATTCTTGATCGAGTGGGAGAGGTGGCTTACAGACTTGCGTTGCCACAGAATTTATCATTTGTGTATCCAGTGTATCATGTGCCCATGCTTCAGAAGTATCACGGCAATCCATCCCATGTGTTAGACTTCAGCATTGTCTAGTTGGATAAGGACTTGACCTACGAGGAGGAGCCGGTAGCTATTCTAGATCGGCAGGTTCGTCCGTTGAGATCGAAGAATTTCCCTTCAGTTTGTGTGCAGTGGAAAGGTAATCTTGTTGAGACAGTGACCTGGGAGTCCAAATCCGATATGCGGAGCCGATATCCCATATTTTCACCGACTCAAGTACTTTTCTATGCCCGTTCGAGGCAAACGGTTGTTTTAGAAGAACCCAAAAGGTCATCTCTTGCTTTAGAAGTCAAATCTATGTTTCGAGGCCTTTAAAACTTCCTTTTGTCTCTCCTCGATTTGCGTACGCAGTCCAGGCATATATCAGGAAAGCCCTTATGTGAAATTTTGAGAAAAATGCTAAATTTTGCCTTTAAAATGGAATTAAGTTGACTTCTGTCAACATTTTGGGGAAACGGATCCGAACCCGTATTCCGGCGGTCCCGTAGGGTCCGTAGTAAAATATGGGACTTGGGCATATGCCCGGAATCGAATTCTGAGGTCCTTAGCCCGAGAATTTTTTTTAAAGAAACTTGTTTGCTGGAAAATATAAGCATTTTTAGAAATGAAAAGGCGTGTAATCTTGATAGTATCAGGCCCGTATTTTGGTTCCGGAGCCCGGTACAGGTTTAAAATAATAATTAAGTCGAATTTGTGAAATTTGGTAAGAATCGAAGTTGATTTGGTATAAGTCGGACCCCTAGTTAAGAAAATGGAAATTTCAATGTTCTTAATAATTTCATGAATTTGAGGTTGAATTCGTAGTTGTTGATGTTATTTTGATGATTTGATCGCACGAGCAAGTCCGTATGATGTTTTTAGGCTTGTCTGCATGTTTGGTTTGGAGCCCCGAGGGCTCGAGTGAGTTTTGGATAGGCCACAAAGTGGTTAGAACTTAGGAAACTCAGCTGATGCATCTGGTATTTTTGCACAGGACTCTGATCTCGCAATTGCGAGATCAGGCTTCGCAATTGCGAAGTGAGCAGGCCTGGAAATGCGACAATAATGTCACAAATGCGAACTAGGCCTACGCAGGCCACCCTCGCAAATGCGAACTTTTGGCCAGAATTGCGAAGGCCCTTCTGTCGCAAATGCGACACTTTCATCGCAAATGCGAAGGCTGCAGTAATTCAAAGGGGTCGCAATTGCGAACCCCTGATCGCAATTGGGAT